GTTAGCTGGTAGGGGACCTCTGCATGAATCTCTCCTCGCTCTCCGTTCTCTGTCAGTTTTCTCACTCCATTTGGTGCTTGGCTGAGTTCTTTATCTCTTCCTTTGATGCTTTAGGGTTTCAGGATTGTTGTATTCTCTGTTCAGCTTAGTTTTTTGGATCTTTGCTGTGGAGGGATGGCGTGGTGCTTCTACCTAGAGTGCCATTTTGCTGGAACTCCCCATTACAGAAATTCTGGTTTTAGCTATAGTGTCTACAAATCATTATATATGGAGAATGATGTGAAGCAATGAGAAAAAAATCAGATAATTATGCTAAGAAATACATTTGCTTGAAAGATAGAGCTGAAAATAAAAATAGGTACTGGGGTTTTAAAATGTTGGAAGTGTATTGCCAAATAATTGTCTGGCTTTGTTATTTTGGTATATTAATCCAGAAACAGACTATGCAATGATGAAAATTTCATACAACACTATTGTAGTGAGGTTATAGAAAATAATGCACTCCCCTACACCTTAGTGTGTGAGTATTAGTAGATTTAACATTTTGAGGACAATTTAACTATTTATTAAAATGTAAAACGTTGTATTCTTTGACTCAAAATTCCACTTCTGTGAATTTATCCATAAAAATACTTTCACATGCACACAAATGTATTTATGTTCATGCAAGGACGTTCTATGCGGTTTTAGTGTAAATGCAAAAAATAAAATATATAACACTCATATAATATATGGATGTGTGGTTTTCCGAATCAGTAAAGATGTATATGCTGATATGGAAAGATTACCAAGAAGTATTTTTAAGTGAAACAAGTATGGTTGAGAGTAGCAATTATCTTTTGTGTTTAAAAATGCATATTTACATGTATGATACACACACAATTATAATATGTATAGGCATGCATCACCTGCACGTACATATTTGTATAAAAAGGGGAAATTAATTATGTGCACATTTTTGTTTCTCATGAAAAGCTTCCTGAAGACATAAAAGAAACAATCTAAGCAGGGGAACTGGGGGTCTGGAGGTGATAGGAAACTCACCTTGCATTCTATATTCTTTGTCACCTTTCAATTTCTAACCATGTGCCTGTACTATGAACATATATTTTAAAAGGATCAATTCTCCTTAGAATGTATTCCTTAGCTTCTTCCCTAGCATAATTACCATATCATCTTCTATATTTTTTTTCTCCACAGACAGAGAAATACACCAAATAACTAGTCAGTTTAGCAAAGATCTAAAATGAATTGACAGATCTTTAAGATGAGGAAATGTTATTCAACAACTGAAGGTTATGTGTATTGTTGGATATGACTATTTGCATATTGTGACCATAATGAATATTTTCCCAACAAGGCCATTGTAATTTTGAAAAATTTTTATTCTTATCCTCACACTCTTTAATGAGTTAAGGAAAAAAAGAACATGCTTTAGTGAAAAAAAAGAGAAATAGAAAAGTTTAATTAAAAACATCTACAACTTGGAAAAATACCTAAAGTGTTCATTTTTAAATTTTTATCTCTAATATAGTTAGTTTGAAATTATGTAGGATAGAGATCCCTAGAAAATGCAAGTTACATGTGATTTCTTAATTATACAATTGTTTTATCATTTAGTTTTGTCCTTTTTGTTCATCTTCTAGGTATATTCCTAACTCATCTGATATTTTCTTAGATTACTAAAATGTCAACATATCTTAAAATGCTTAGTTGTATTTTATGTAATCATAACATTATTAAGAACACAATTTGAAAGTATTATGATGAATTTTTTTTTAAAGGAGTAGTAAGCATCATTTTGTTACAATAGGCATGATCACTGTAACCATTATTTGAAATTAGACAAGACTTCCAATTGGCAAACGAGGTAGACACATATATGCTTGAGGAGTTTTGCTGAGATTGATAGGGTTTCCATCCAATCGAATGTCCTCCAGTGCCTTACGAATATAAGTCAAATTTTTAACATTGCAGAAGGTATCTTCATGCATCTCCAGAATGTTGTTATTCTAAAAAAAATGAAAATAAAGTATAAAACAAGATATAATATATCCATAATGCTAATTACCTAATACATTTTGCTTAACACTCATTTTGATTATTTTGTTCCTTGTATTAAAAAATACACATTAAGTGATTATTATTGGTCAAACACTTTCTAAGCAATGGGAATAAATTAGTTAACAAAATAGACATATTCTTGCCCTTATGGAGCTTATGTTTCAGTTGGGAAATATAAAGTAGAAGGTGAAAAAAAATTAAGATTATTTCCCAAAATGATGAGTGTTAATGAAGAAATAATAATGACTGCAAAAAGTGATCGTAAGAGGTAGCACACAACTGAGCTGAGAACTAAATAACAAGAAGACACAGGCATGGAAAGAGCCAAAGAGCCAAGGAAACAACAACCCAGGCAGAGAAGAGCAAGTTCAATGTTTGAGGAAATAGCATGGAATGTTGAAGGAATAGGAAAAAACAGATAATGCGGTGGAAGTGGAAACCTGGTGGCGCAGTGGTTAAGAACTTGGCTGCTAACTGAAAGGTCAGCAGTTCGAATACACCAGCCACTCCTTGGAAACCCTATAGGGCAGGTGTACTCTGTCCTATAGGGTCCCTATGAGTCGGAATTGACTTGACGGCAACAGGTTTGGTTTTGGTTTGTTGCAGTGGAAGTGAAATGAGAGAGTGAGACTGCAAATATCAGAACAATTAGGTAATTTTTCTCTCATCTAACCTTTATTAGTTCCTTTGGGTTTAGTTCGCTCTTCTTTTTTCTAGTTTCTTAAGGTGGAAGCTCAGGTTATAGATTTGAGGGTTTTTTTTAAAATATAGGTATTTATAGCTGTTAATTTCCCTCAAAGTACTTCTTTTGTTTCATCCCATACATTTTGGTATGTTATGTTTTTTGTTTTTATTTGTGTCAGACTATTTTACAATTTCCCTTATGATTTCTTTGACCCTTTGATTATTAAGGAGAGTGTGGCTTAATTTTGACATATTTGTGGATTTCCCAAATTGTCTTTGTTGTTGATTTCTAATTTAATTCCATTGTAACCAGATGTTATGAATTTAATTATTTTCTTAGTGATTGCTAGGCAATTGTGTGTACCTTCAAGTCGATTCCAACTCATAGTTGGATTCTAAATAACAAAATAGAAGTGCCCCATAGGGTTTCCTAGGCTGTAATCTTTATGGGTGCAGATTGCCAGGTCTTTTCTCCTGCAGAGTCACTGGTGGGCTCAAACTGCAGACCTTTTGGTTAGGAGCTGAGCACTTAACCATTGTGCTACCAGGATTAGTACTAACTTAATTCAATAGAGTACAAAAACTTTGCTCTAATGTATCTCCTTTACCTTCTCCCTCCTTTGTACTATTATTGCCACATAATTGTATATTTTTATTTTATCAGTCTATCAACCTAATTTTTTAAATTATTTATTTGTGCAATTGTCTTTTACAACAGACAGGTGCTGAGAACAGCTGCAGGAGTGTGAGAGATTATAAAATTTGCAAAACGGGATTCTAGAATTAGTGTACTATATTCTATGCCCAGTCTTCCCATTTGCTAGCTGGGAAAGTGCAATGAGTAATAATGTATGGGTCCTGCACCCTAATGGGTTACAGACTAGTTGAGACAAGCTATTTAAACAAATAGTTGAAATATAGCAAGGCACGTTTCATGGTGGAAATTTGTCTAGGTACAATAATAATACAAAGCAGACATTATGTTTTTGGGGAGGCAGGGAGGGAGTGCAGATTCAGAAAGGAGTCTTAGTGGTGCAGTGGTTAAGCCTTCAGCTGATAACCAAAAAGTCAGCTGTTCAAATCCACTGGCTGCTCCTTGGAAAACCTATGGGGCAGTTCTACACTATTCTGTACTGTTGCTGTGAGTCGGAATCGTCTCAACGACAACAGGTTTCATACATGTAAAAATGCATGGCTCTTGAAAGATGAACAATAATTGTCTAGATAGAGGTTTCACTAGATCAGGTCTTGGCAAAGCAAACATACCTAAATAAAGGCGTGGATGCCTTTCTATGTGGTCTTAACCAAGTCATTTGACCTTTCCTTGTAAACGTGAAAAGGATGAGCTGATTACTCTCTAAATTCCTTTTAAAACTCTAGCTACAAGTAGGAAGAGAAAATGGAACTCGAGTAAGACACAAGGAAGATATTAGTAAGGATGAAGAATAATACAGATTTCGTGCCTTTTTGCTTTACCGTTCCCTTTGATGGCCAATAGGTGCATGCAGTTTACAGTAATTGTGCCGGGCTTATCATGAATCAGGAACTGAACTACCCACTTTGTAAAATTTATCTTATTTTCTCTTCCCAACCGTATAGACAATCCCTTTGTTACAGATGAGAAACTTGGGTCCAGGGAGGTTTTGAAATTTGTCCAGTCATTAGATAGTGTTGGAACAGTAATTTAAGTCCCGGAAATCTGTTTCTACTAGCATCCTCATTCTTAATTGTTATACATTGTTTGTATACAAATGTTGAAAAACGTTTTTCAAACAAATCAGGGAAGGAGATTTTTAAAAAAATATGAACGTTAAAAATATGCAAACTGAGGGAGACATGTTTACTTTGTAGGGTCAACATCTTCGCAGATCACAGTAATGAAATTTAATTCATAATTGGAACACATGTTCCGAAATTTCTTTGAGAAGGCCCTTGAAAATCCTCCTTGCAGTCACAAGCAAGGCAAGAAGTATATATATATATATGTGTAGAAATTGGGCCCCAGAAACAGAAAGACCAAAAGAGAGCCATCCCGAAACAGGATGAGGGCTGGGAAGTACAGAGGCATTACTTCTGAAATGAACATATTCAGAAAAACTCACAAAAGAAACAGTTATCCAAACCTCATAGATAGATGTACACAAAAAGACATCAAAAAGTATAAAAAAAAAAATTAATAGGAGGAAAAGAAAAGGCACAGAGGTACACATTTATAGGCTGCGCAGAGAAAAGCACAGGAATCAGAGACCTGCTCTGATATAGTCAAATCACGTCTTGTAATGGTTTGCACTTTTTTTGCTAAACAAATTTTAATATTCCACTATGGTATTTTTTGTTTGAGCATATAATGGATATCTTCTCTACATATTTATACTACAGAACAGATGAAATTATTGTAAAATTTTCATTACAGCTGTAGGCTAATAATTACATAGAAATAAAAATAATTTGTTTATCTATTTTAACAACCAAAACTATTTATTTTAGTCAAACATATTTTTAATCACTTTGATGAGAAACGAAAGATATTTAGAAACTATTGGATTTTCAAGATTTTTGAAGATGTGTTTTTACTCATAACTTCAAAAAAATGTAGTTGGATGAGAATTAAAATAACGAAAACTCTCAAATATGTTGGTTTAGAAAAAAATTACATTTTCTTAATCCAGAGAGATGGGTGTTTGTCATTTCTCAGCAGATAGGAATGTCCTAGGATTGAATTTAATTCACTATTTTAAACCTAAAATGAGTAGCTGAAATTGATTTTTCTCTGAAAACGAAATCAAATTAGACTTTTTTTCCTCCCTTTTTTCTTCCATTTCTATTCTTCACAAATTTCTTCAGCAAGTGGAAATTCGTTATTTTTTTTTTCCAAAATAATTGCATTATTATTTGGCAAAAAATGAAAATAAAGGCTATGGTTCTCAGAAATTGATCAGGGTGGCTAGAGTCATGAATGCAAAGATCCCTTGTACACAGATTGAGAGGAACAAGTGAGAGAAGAAAAAGAAGGAAAAATGTAACAGTGTTTCAAAATACCATTATAAACAATTGTTTGTGTCTTGGACCTCCTCTTTTTGGTTTTGTGTTCCATGAAGCATGTCTTACCAGTAAAAGCTTACCTGGAGGTGAAGGGCCCGTAAATTTTCTGGGAGTGGCAGAGGGATGTGGTCCAAGTTGTTATCCGTAAGGTAGAGATGATGGAGATCATACATATCCTGTAAACATTCCAAATACAGGGATGTAGTAGAAGTTATTGATGTCTCAGTTGTATTTTTTATTCCCTACACATGCAACTATCTGTAAAGTAACATGTATCCAATCAGGTCTTATTTCATAAAGTTGAGGCAGACTAATGCTGTCAGTTACTAGACAAATGAGTTTTGTAATGCTTGATAGCTAGCAAATATTCTTCATAAAGATGAAGATTGTTTCTCAATCTCTAAGAAGAATCTTTGTCCACTTCAACTTTTTTAACTTAAGCAAGGCAGCTATTTCCCATAGAAGTCATTTTTGGGTAGGATTTTGAAGATTTTCATGAGGGATCACAAGAATTTTCTTCATTTTTATAGGCATGAAGAAATGAGAACTGATATAACCACCAGGGATGAAGCAGCGCTAGAAATTGTAGAGGAACTTTATAGACTTAGGTTTGTCAGAATTGGGTTTAAAGGAAGATACTACAGTTCTGTTTTCCCACATGAAGGCCTTGCTGGATAAAGAGCCTAGATAGTACAGTGGTTTAAGTGCATGGCTTTGGAACAAACCGTGGGGTTCAAACCCTGACTTTCCCATTGACTGATGTGAGACACTGAGCAATTTAGTTAATCTGTGTCTCAGTTTTTTCATATGTAGAATGGTGATAATAACAATATCAACCACAAGGGGTGATTGTACGGATTAAAGAGTTATTAAATGTGAAGTGCTTCAATTAATGCCTGGCACAAATAGTATATGCTATATGTATTTGCAAATATTATATGCCAGATTTTTTTGTTGTGGCGCATATAAATATGAACAAAGTACAGTGTCTGTCTTCAAAGAAGTCTCCAGAATTATGATAACATATAAAGTGTAATGCATTGCCATAAGTAATAACTTTGATGGTAATGGTGGGTAATACCACAGTGAGAGCCATTTGTGTGAGCCTGCTACCTTCTTGTCCAAGTCACTTCCACCTATGATGACTCAGCAATGGAAAGATACAGGCCCCAACCTTTTAACTTCTAGATATCATCGCTATTCCTGAATTTTCTTCTCCTTTCCAAGCAAACTAGGTTAGGACATGTGGCCTTGGCTAGAATAATGTGCAGTTCTATAAAATTGTATTTTAAAACTGTCTGTTCAATGCCTATTTAAAGGAGCAGCTTGAATGGAACATAAGTGGGTTAGAAAGCCTGCTGGTGACTGATTCTTAGACTCTATGCTGTTGTTTCAAGCAAGTCAGTCTGTCCCCATACTTACTTCCTCCACTTAGTAAACAAAATCCCTAAGATTAATAAGCTATCTTCCTTACAAGTCAGTTTTAGGAGACTTCTGTCCTGAAGACATTATTCACACCATGCACAAGCGGCTTATCCTTTTAACCGCATAAAGTACTTTCCCTAAGCAGAATTCTTGATAAAAAATTCTCTGGCTTATACTATTTTCAAGTGCTTCTTATAGATGGGTGCTCCTGGTAGCCACCTACTTCTTATTCCAACTCTGCTTTCTGTTCTCGGAGCTTGACTACTCTCAGAACTTAATAAAATGCAGTATTTCTTAACAAACATAAAAATAGGGTCACATGGTTTATTTTATAAGTTAAAAATCTCACCAACGTGAATTGCAGAAATAAAAAGGCTGCTCATTGACAGCAAATGGAATGAAATGAAAGTCCTTCCTTCATATCCAAGCTTAAAACTTACTTTAAATGCTTCTTGCTTTATCCCTTTTCTTCCAAGTCTATTGTTGCTAATATCAATAAATGTCAAAGTGGTTGGCAATTCTGGGAGCTGCCTTATTTTATTGTCACGCAGGACAAGCTCTCGAAGTTGAGGCAGCCTTCTGAATGCATCTTCATCAATCTCAGATATTAAATTTGATGTCAAATCAATCCTTTTTAAATCAGCTAGGAGAAAAAATGAAGAGAATAGTTAAATATTCTTGAATATTATTTGCTCGCATGAATATAGATATCAATATAAAATTTCTCATGTAAAAGCAAATATAAATATGAATTTAATTAGCAATGGACAGTTAATGAAATAATTATTTTAAACTACTTTATTAAAAATTCATTGTTTCCTCCAGGTAGTATTTATATGTATATAATTATAAGAAAGTTTAACTCTAGAAAAGAAATTGGCACATTACATTTAAAATAACTGGCATTTTCCCCACATTCTTCATACACTTTGTCTGAATTTTACTTTTTAAAATTTTTTCTCAGCGATGGTAGATTGTTATATAAGCATTAAAGATATCTTCAAATGAATATAATACTTTATGAAGAATAAACAAAAGTATCACAATTCTTTTTAGTTGGCAAAAAATATAATTAGAATTTAGGTTTGCATTATCAATCATAAAGCAATTACACTTTAATGGAACTTTGTTCAAGAAAGCCAAATCCTATTAATTATATGAATGGTATTATATACTATACTCACTCTTAATGCCATAACATAATAAGATTTAGCCGCATTAAGATATTTATTATTTCTTCTTAGTTGAAAATAGTCAGATTGAAAACTATAACAACTATATACTTAGTTTTATAATAACCTTTTAATTAATTGTTGTGTTTTCTTATCATTATTAAAGCAAATTTCTAAATAAGAAAAAAAAAGATTAGGAACCATATTTTGGCATTTAAATTTCATTCTCAGTACCCACATTTTACACTGTAAAAAGTCTCAGAAACTATGTAAGGAAGAAAGAGATATTAATATTGTCATCCATACTTAGGCTTGCAAAGTCATTTTTGTTGATCTTTTTAATTCTGTTAAAGCGGGAATAGAAATAAGCAGTGTTCTTGGGCAGTGGAGGAATAGCATCAAGTTCATGGTCATCACAGTATACGGTGGTACTTATACAAGTACACAAGAGACAGGTGGGAAAGTCTAAAAGACAGAGGCAGATAATTGCATGTAAGTGACAAAAACAATTTATAAGAAAGAATGTGGTTAGGTACGTTTGATAAATAAGATAAAACTCACACAAACCGTTCTGGTATATTTCCTATTTTCTCATATAGTGCAAAACTAATTTTAATTAATATTAATTCACTCAAAACAGTAATCATTTCTAGGTAAATGGCAGCAGGCTAGCTGGTGAAAGAGAGGTGAGCATGAAGAGACATAGTTCTATTTCATAACCTGGTACGTGAGATAGATGTTCATTAAATAATTACACAAATCAATAAAAATTATGACTGTGATAAGTGTCATGAGAACTAAATGAGCATAAAATAAAGGAATTTGACCTAGTCTGGGAGCCATGGAAAGGTTCTCTGAGGAAGTGATAGTTTAGCTGAGATATGCAGGAAGGGAAGGAGTTAATTATGTAAGCAGGAAGGGAAAAGTATTCCAGGCTCTTGAAGGGGGAATTTTAAAATATTTAATACTTGCTAATTTTTCCAGTCATAAATTAACATTTCTCACTCATCATAAAACTTTAAAAAAGTGAGGCATTTGATTTTTCCATATAGTCATAGCTTCACTAATTTAGCAAAAATTGATTAGGGTAATTTTTATAAACTCGCACCAGTTGTAATTTAATTCTAGTTTGATTCCTCAAGCCTTCATTATAGGGCTGCAGAATATGATCTTAAAGAACTGTGTTATCAATAGAAATGTATTTTGATTTTTAATGTACTAAATATTGTCAAGCTACCTAACTTTGATGAATTTATAAGACTTCAATTTCATTTTACAATTTCTGTAGCTGCTTCTTATATGGAAATTAAAATGAGAATTGAAGTTGTGACTTCATTATTCACCATCAGACTACTTTCAAGACACAAATAAGGAAAAAAAAAGTCTTAGCTTTTTTTATATTGTTTCAAAACTGACATTACTGAGCCATGATTTGAACTAAAACTTAAAAAAAAATATATATCTCATTTAAAAGATTGGGCATTTTACTTCACCGTTGTTCCTCGAAAAGCTAAAAAAAAAGAACAAATCAGTCAATTCTTGAAGGATCTGAAATTTCGTAAAAGTAAACAATGTTCTTGGGATATTTACTTTTCCTATTGTGGAGATTTTACTTCCTTATCATATTGTGTGTCTATCCTTCTAGTAGATATTGCCTTAGGATTTAGTGGTCTATCTTTAAACCCCAGCACTACTATATACCACCTCTGTGATCTTAGACAAATTTTATAGGATGTTGCAGTTTCAGTTTTTCTATCTATAAAACGGAGAAAACAGTAATTAGTACGTAGTGTTGTTGGGGCTAGTCAAAGAGTTAGTGTGCAGTTAAAATGAACGAACTCTTCCATTAATAGTAGAATATTGACAATAACTAACTATGACTTACTACGCCAGGAACTACTTTCATTCATTTAATCCTTACAACAACTCTATGATGTAGGTTTTATTATTCATTATTCCATTTTTTAGATGAGGCATAAAAAGATTAAATGGCTTGCTCCGGGCTTTATATGTATCAAGTGGCAGAGCAGAGATTGATATGGATGTCTTGGTTACTCCATGAAATTCAGTTTTGGCTTCTGCACCCTTGCTCTTAGTTCAAAACACGAAAACCAAACCCACTGCTGTCGAGTCAATTCTGACTCATGACGACCCTATGTCTTACACAGTAGAACTGAGCTCTATAGAGTTTTCTTGGCTGTAATATTTACAGAAGCAGATCACCAGGCCTTTCTCCTGATGCACTGCTGGGTAGGTGCCAACATTTTAGTCAGGGTGTTATTAGTCTTGCCCTATGTTATCTTGCTCGTCCCTCACTTTTGTTCTCCCAGTATGTTCTGTACAGATTTTTCTCATAATACCTGTAATCCCTTATCGCTTCTACGTTTATTTACATATCTGACTCCCTGTAATAGACATAAAGGTCCTTGAGAACAGTGGCCATTTTAAAATCAGCTCTGTAGCTCTAGAATTTGGAGTATAGAGACACTCAATACCAGCAAAACATTTGCAGTGGGAACCCTACTCATTTTTCTATATCCCCTCACTGCACCTCTCTCCAGATGTGTAAAATTATTCTGGTGTGAGTCCACTTGAGTATCCTCAAAGATGACACTGACAAATTCTAGAAAGAAGTATAGAAAAAAACCATAGAATCACATCTAGCACTAGGAATTCCTTCTCATTAACTAAAACATCCATTCCTTCTCATTAACTAAAACATTTCAGGCCATTTAAAATGGAGCCCAAACTTAGGGAATGCTTTCCTCTCTTTGCCTGTCTCTGCTGCTTCCTGGGACTGAGTGAGAAGCCTGTTTTCTATTAAGCACTCAGATAAAGGTCAGAAGGGGCTGGCTTCAAATTCAGTTCGTGAAACTGATATCTATATGATCTCTGACAACTTACCATCCTCTTTGAGCTACAGTGTCCTTGGTAATAATGAAAAGACTATTACTAACTCCCTCATAGGGAGATTGTAATAGTCAAATGAAGTAACGTTGCGAAGTGCAGAGTATTATGGCCTAAAGATACAAGTGCTCAATCAATGTGAAATATTATTACTATCTTCATGATCATCATCTTTATCATCACTTTGAACTGCTTTGGTCTGATCTCAGAGGCATAGACACTGATTTGTTTTTCCAGGAATACATTCCACCAAAAAAGTTTTGAATAAGCATGCCAGACAAATGTTTTCATCACAAATCTCTGTTTTTGTTTTTTTTTAAATTTAAATAAAACCAAAGCTGAATTATTAAAGCCACTTTATATTTGAATTTTAAAAAAATGCATGTGCATCCCCTGCTTCAAACTGCGTTTCTTCCAAAATTTTCTTTGCGTCATGCCAGTTGGAGGTTGGCAGTTTTCAGGGATGGCCAAGGGGACTTAATTACAATTTAGCTTTGATGTACCCAACCTTCATTGGTGTGAGGGCCCAAAACACCAGTGAATTCTGGCTCCTGTGGGGAAGAGCCATCGATCAGCCTGGAGGTGGATTCTTCCTCTTTCTCTTCACTCTCCTCCTCTTCAGGCAATGGTGGCGGGGTCAGGAGCTCTCTGTTCCCAGAAGGCATCACTGTCCCTATTTCAATCTGAGAAAGAAGCAGAGTTTGATCAGGCAGCGTTTTTCATCACTAAGTTGGGCAGTGACACAAATTTAAAATGTATCCATACGTGCCACAAGAGGGCACTCCTGTTCTGAAGTTCAACTCACTCTAGCCTGCTTGCCAGATAGGGCACATATGGTTCACATTATGTTACTGTTGTTTTTAATTATTTCTGCCTTCTCAAACCTTAGCAATCTTTTCCAATGCCTTTTTTTTTTTTTTTTTTTTTTTTTTTTATTTTTATTGTCTTTTTGTATTTTTATCTCATTAATTTGGAAAAATGTATTGTTTTCTGAATACATAGTGTTGCAAGAATGCATTATTGTTGTGAAAGATTCAAATTACTACAGAAGTGTGCAAAGTAA